GAAGGGACCCTCGCCGAGAGGAGCCGGCAGCGCCTCCGTGCCGGGGCTGCTCGGAGCTGCTCCCTGTGCAGTGCGAGTATGGAACCCGTGCGGTGAAAGCGGTCCGGAGCGAGTAGGAGAAGGAGGCTAGAAGGAGGTTTTCTTTGCATCGCTAAGAATTCCAGACCCACGGGATATAGGGCCGTGTATGACTGGGCTGCTCTGCATGTTAGGACGGCAGACAGCTCGGGTCTGAGGGGGATCCTCAGTGCTGGATTACCGACAAAAGCTGAACGTAAGCTGGTAATTTTGGAGGTGTATGGCACTGTGTAGTTCGAAATGGTACGAGAATGTTGTCGGCCACAAGATAATATATATATACATACACATTTATATATCGGGAAAGAGAAGAGATCTTTGTGAGTGTATAAGAAAGTTAGGTTTACTGAGAACAGAGGTGGGGCCAAAAAGGAGAATTTTTGAAACTGGGAGTTCGAAGGACTTCGGTGTTTCTCAAGCATGAGAATTCATTCTCAAGGTAAAACGTTAAGTCAGACCTTTTAATAACCTCTTTGTAATCGATTCTGCAACACTCAAAAACAAAAAAGCTTTTTTTTTTCCTTTGCGCTTTTTGGATCTGTGAAGTCTTGCTAAGTAATCTAAATTCGTATGTAAAAGCAGAGAGTCTGTGCAGCCATTAGGGAAGAGGAAAACTTAGTGCTTGTAAATGAAATCTTTGGGGCAGAGCGGATTCCAGAGCTCGGTTCCTGGCGGCAGGAAAGCCTTGAGGCCGGTCCGGTCCGTTGTGCACAGGCTCCCTGGTCATACCGGGAGTGCGATCGCTCTCGCTGCCCTTTGTGGTAACTCTGGTTTGTGCGCTGGGTCGCTTTAAGGCCTTCCCTCCTCGCAATCAACGCCTCCCCCCGTGATTGTTTAAGAAATAGGTTCCTCTGTTTTGTAAACTCTGATACGTGGGCTTTGAAACACCTCACGGTGAGTTCGGTCCCAGGCTTGCACATTTCGCTTTTGGGGCAGAGTTGGCTTTCACTGTGTGATTTTTGCTTATTTCTAAAGTTGCCTTTAGGTTAAACTGCCTGGCTGGAGTTGCATTATCTACTTAGAAAAGACAGCTGGTTTTGGTTTATACAAGTAAAAACTGGATATTGTGATTAAAAATAAATGTTCAGAAATTCCAGTTGCATGCTGTGATTGTTAAGGTTTGTGCAAAAGCACATAGAAAAAGAATCCTATCCTTGAGGACCTTGTGATAGTCTTGTCCAAAATTAGACTGATTTAGTGCTGACCAAGTCAATTTTTCATGACTTCTCGAGAGTGGTTGTGTCATGTTGTGGTGTGTCTGCCAAAGTGTGCATATTTGATAGATCAAACTACAGTTACAAGTCTAATCTACTCTCTTCTCGTTGCTCTCATCAGAAATGTAAATCTAAACCACTGAATTCACTTTAATAAAACTTGGCTGAGTTAGCTGAAGAATGTGTGTTTTGTAATAGTGTTATGATTCAGAAGAGAATAAACCAGTATTTCTAGGCCACCTGGAACCAAAAATCCTGAGATGAATGTGGAGCTGCTGACACCCATGTTAGACTGGGGCATTCTGTGTGCTCGTGGGCAGAATGCTGCACTCCAGAGTGTTCAGTTTCTGCAGGCTCAGGCCCTGAATGTGTGTGACAGTGCCTATGGAAGGTGGCAGGAATGCTTAGTTATTGGCCAGCTCTGTTTGGGAAAGAAGCAGAACTAGTACTCTGAATATGTTGATCAGCTCATAGTTACCTCTTCTTCTTGTGCTGAGTCCAGAAGTCAGACTAGAACCCTTTACTGTGAATCTTGACTACAAATGTTTTTTTTTTTTTTGCCAGAGAGAGAGAGAAAAATCCCAAAAGATTTGATGCTTTCAGTTGCTGAGCTGTGCAGTGTGTGTGACATGAGTGTTCCCTGAACTGAATGCAGGGCACCTTAGCGTTATTCATACTCTAACTGAGGACACTGAAACGGTGACATAAAGTGCAGAAGTAGAGGTGCAGTCTGGTCCTGAATAACTACAGATTTGCCCAGCTGTAGGATTTGTGTGGGCTGAACCAAAGTCAGAGATTAATCTCACGAAGTTGTGTTCATGGAATGCCTTCATTTGTATTAAATAGTGGAGGCTTTCAGACAGAAATGAGTGTTTGGGGTTGCCAGCACAGGCTGCAGTCCTTCCTTACTGGGGCACTCGGCTCTTGTTCTCTAATCAACATTTTGTTCCCACCGTGGTGATCTTTCACTGAGCTAAACTTGTGGCCTCTGTCTCACAGTTAGAGAAAGATAGGAGCTGTTAAATATTGAGCATCACATTTTGAACCTGAGCTGGAGTCTGGGAAGGTGAAGTGCTGCATCCTCTCACAGAGTGCACAAGTGAGTAGTTATTTAAATAGCAGAGGAACCCCATCCATGGTGGAT